AAATCCTTCGTGAAGTTTCAGTTTCCAGTTTTTATTTAGCAGCTTTATGACCCTCTTGTTCAGTTCTGATATAGGGGCATTTTGGGGATTTCACAGTGAGTTTTTTCCGATCCCGTCCGCTTTGTCAGGTAGAAAACTCGATTTTAGGGGGGGTTTCTTCTTCGTGTTTTTCCAGAAAAGCTCGTCTTGACCTCCGTTTCAAGCCTCAGTTCTGGACAGATAAAAAAAAATGTAGCAGCAGCTAAGGGTTGCCACCAGCCATGTCTTTGGGCGCCGGCATGCGCGCCGGTGGGCTCGCGCATGGGCACCGTGTGCGTCATGGCCCTCGTCGGGCCGCCGCGATGTCAATTCTTCTTTTGAGCTTTTCTCCTTCGTCCGGACTCCGATTCAAGTGAATTTTTTTTTTGAACTTGACCAATTTTTCACTATCTTCCCAACGGTGTGCTCGGTTGCACCCGGTTCTTCCTGGATAATTACCAGTTTGCCCTTAAAGCTTTAAGTGTTCGTTTTTTGTCGTCATGTCGTTTCCCCTTCATCCGGACTCCGACTCATGCGATTCTTGAGCCCATCTTGATTAGTTTTTCGTTGTCCTTCCAGCGGTGTGCTCGGTGGCACCCGAATCCACAATTTTCAAAAATGACTATTTTGTCTCTGGGGGCTTATTTGTCATATTTTGACCTTTTGCTTCCGCATCAGTTCATATTGAGTTCCATGACCTCATGGAAGATCACTTTGACTTCTTAGAGTCTTGTTTTCTGTTTTCGTTTCCGCATATCGGATCCGTTATCTGGTCAAATCTTCGGTTCATCACAGGACACGCTGGCCTAAAAATCAGAGTCGTCACGTATCGTGACTTGTTGCTCTACTTGTTGATTTTAGAAACTTGGGATATTATCAAGAACATGACTAGGCTAGGACTTGGTTCTAGTATGGGGGATTGTCCTTCTACAACTATAGTGCGCACTAGGGGAAGGTACCCGTGAGTTAATAGCCCTAAAGTGATCTCAAGAGTACGGTTTTAATCCGGGCAATATCCAAGTATCCACTTTGGCTTGATTTCGCATTTAAATTCCAAGTTGTTAACTTTGTGAATTTACATCTCATTGTGCTATGTTAAAAGTTTTAATGTCACTTTGATAGCATGAATTAAATTGTATTGAATTGCAAACTTGGTACAAAGATAAACCCATGCATTCCCTACGAGTAAACTTGTTTACTCACCCCTAAGTTACTGGGTGTTTTTCAGGTAAAGAAGTCATAATGTGGGATGCACGACAATCTTAGACTTGCTAGACTACTTGGAGTATTTTTTTGCTATGTTAGAATATGCACATGTTAGCATATCTTGTTCCATTTTGCTTACTATGTCAAAAACTTGTATTTATTGTTCAAGTCATGTAATGTGTACTTAAAGTGCACCTTTTGATACTCTATGGATGTGTTTGTAATGAGGCCAAGGGCCAAGAACAATTATATGACAAGTATGCTAACCTAACTTCATTGTTTGTCTATGGAAATTATGGGATTGATGCATTGAAGGGTTCTATTTTGCATATGACATGCCATGAGGCTATAGGCCATTGCAACATATCTATTTTATCACATTACATATGCTTGAATGCTCACTTTGGCAAACAACACCATCTTTGATGAAACAAAAACTCTAAGTAGCATTTTTAGGGAATTTTACCCTATCAGTTCCAGGGGCATTTCGGGTATTTCACAATACATTTTTTTTTCATTTTTCCTCACAAGTCACGTAGAAAACTCAATTTTGAAGGGGGTTTCTTCTTTGTGTTTTTCCAGAAAATGCTATTTTGGCCCTCAAAAATCTATTTTTTCAAAAAAATCATTGCTGCCTGGTTTTTGCCGATTTTAGTGCAAATGTACTCGGTACTATTCATCGACTTTTTTTTGAAAAGTGTGACGACCGATCCGAAACTTCGGGGGGTCTTGTGGATGTATTTTAAGATTTCATTTTCAATTTAGGAAATTTAAAAACCTTACGAAGCCCCATTTCCTTTCTTTGGGCAGTAGCTTGAAATGATTTTCAACTTCTAGACCTGATTTTCTTGAGGGTATTTTGGGCATTTTACAGTGCATTTTTTTTGTTTCCGTTCATGAGGTCGGGTAGAAAACTTGATTTTAAGGAGGGTTTGTTCTTTGAGTTTTTCCAAAAAAGTCCGTTTAGATACCCGTTTTTACTCTCAGTTGCAGCAATAGTGGGTTAACGGCACTGTAGCTGTCACGGCATTCGTCGGGCCGCCGCGACGTCGATTTTGTTTTTAACCTTTCTCCCTCATCCGGACTCCAAGTCAAGTGAATTTTTTTTTTAAAATTGATTAATTTTTCATTGTCTATCCAACGGTTTACTCGGTTACACCCGAATATTTCTGAATAATTACCAGTTTACCCTTTTAGCTTTATTGCTCGTTTTTCTTTGTTTTGTCGTTTCTTCTTCGTCCGGACTCCGAATCATGCAATTCTTGAGTCCATCTCGATTAGTTTTTCGTTGTCTTTCCAGCGGTGTGCTCGGTAATACTTGAATCTATATTTTTTTAGAAATAACCATTTTGACCTTGGGACTATTTTTGTCATATTTCTAATACTTTGCTTCTGCATTCGGACCCATCAATGGGTCAGCACAGGATGCACTGGGTTTAAAAATCCAAGGTCGTCACAATGTCGAGATCAACCTCGACGTTAACCCCAAACCTCGGCACCTTCTTAGTTGCAGACCCAACCATCCTCGCCACCATGGTCTTATTTGTTGCATTGGTGTCACATTTTTTTTGGTTTATGAAATTATCAACTGTCACATCAAGTATAACTCTCAAAACGACATGGTTTTAAGTAATGGTAAAATTTTCTTTTAATATTTCCGACCAAGTCACCTACCGAAATGCAACAAATCAATAGTGTAGGGGTTTTTTTTGCAAGAAAATCATAGTTCAGGAAGTTTCTTGTAGTTCAAGGGGGTTAGTTGCAAAACCCCAATAGTTCAGGTTTTATTTTATTTTTATTTTTATTTTTTTTTTCCGCATTTTATCCTTATTTATATTATATAAAATATATAAATATAAATACAATTTATATAATGGTTCGGATTGGTCTTGTAGAACTTCAATTTAGAACTGAGCCGTTTATAAATGGTTCCATATTTTTAGAATCGAAATTTAACCGAACCATGAAAAAATTGAACCAAATTGATCGATCTGATTTGGTCACATTTGATTTATCGGTTGAACCATATTTTTGTGCAACCCTATGATGCACAGTGGATGGCGGTATCCTTTGAAAGATACTTAGAATAAAAAGAAAGGAATGCCAATGAAAAAGGAGGTGTGGAGACACAAATAAATAAATATAGACAGAGGAGATGAGAAATGAGGGTTACGTTTGGTATTGTGGAAAAATAATAATAATAACATTAGTTAGGAGATGAAGAAAGGAAATGAGTTGACAATGTTAACCCCTTCTCATATTTGGTTGATTAATGAAAAAAAGAAAGGCAATTATACAATTTATGCCATTTTAATGAATTTATTATTATACCCTCTTCCATGGATTTTGTTTTTTATAAAAATAAGTGTAAATTTGGTTTAACAAAGTTCAATTAAAAATGCTAGTTTCTCCTTCCATTTCCTCCCATATATGAAAAACCAACTAATCAAGCTTTAATGTATCCCTCCAAATCATTTTACCTTACAAAATTTTATACCAAACACAAATAATCATATCTCTCAATTTCTCTTCTTTCACTTCAATTTATTTCCAACCAAACTAGGTCTAAAAAGAAAGCCTAGCTATCTAAACATTTATTATTTTATGCTCCATTTGATAGAGAAAGAAAGAAGAAGGTGGGGGGAAGATAAGAAAAAAATAAATAAATTTTCTTCGTTCGGTAGAGATGAAACAAGAAGACAATAAAAAAGAGAATTGAGAAGTCATTATTCCTCCTCCACAAATTTTTATTCCTCAAATATGGACAGAAGAAAAAAAGACAAGACTATTACAAAAGTTTTTAAATTATTACAAAACTTTTTTTATAACTAACACTATTTCTTCCATTATATTATAAGTTCATAATAAACAAAATAAAATATTATCTCATTATCTTCTCTTACATCTATATATTTGATGGAAGGGAGAATAAAATAAATGTCTCATTTATATATATATAATATCTTTTATAGGAATGTCTCATTTATTTTATTCTCCCCTTCTATCAATTTTCTCCCTTCCTAACAAAAAGAGCATTAATATCCGAAGCATATATTGTTTGGTTACATATAAGCATTTATAAAGGCAAAATGCTAAGAAATCTTAAAAAGGAAAATACCAAAATAGTACTTGACAACTAAAACATGAATAAAACAAAAAATATATAATAAAACAAAAATTCTCGATTCTTTGCCCCTCCTTAAAGTAAAGGTCAATTAGGGCGTGGTCCATGCATTCCCATCTATGTCTTGATCTCCATGAAGTCGATGTGTATGGCATACGTCAAATAAACAAAAGTAAATTTATTCCATAAACATCTCGTATTTATTGGTTAAAAAATAGGTAGACATTGTCATGGTATTGAACACACTTGGGACATAATTATAAATGTTGTGAAATTTCAATATATTATTTTTTAGTTAGGCATGATCGATACATATTTAAAACACTTTTGAGATACACTAGGATGATTTTATAATTGTAAGTTTTTGAAGAATGAGATTGAATATTTAAATATATTATAAGTTAATTAGAAAAATAATATAAATTTTTAAAAACAAAAACAACATTAATTATTTTTAAACTCAAAATTAATAATTTCATTTATGATTACTCCGATAAAATGAAAAAAACTACCAGTCTAACCTATCCAATTATTATTTATTTATTTTTTTACGTATTAGTGTCTCGTTCGATTAATATTTTTGATCTGAGGTCGGCCCGAATTAGGTTTGCCCATTGGCAAAATTGGGCTTTAGCCGAGCCCACTTGCGACTCTTCATTCTTCCTAGTCACAGGTGCGCTCGCTCTCTCTCTCTCTCTCTCTCTCTAACCATCCAACCATGGCTCCTCCCAGAATACTACTGTGCGGAGATGTTTTTGGCCGGCTCAACCAGCTCTTCAAACGAGTTTCATCGGTATATCTCTTGCCATTATGCCATATATGTATATACATGTTCTCTCTCTATATATATCACTCTAGGGTTATCACTTAACTAGCACTGACAAACACGCACTGATTCTTGTCATTTTAATCGATTTAGGTCAATAAATCAGCTGGTCCGTTCGATTCACTTCTCTGCGTCGGTCAGTTCTTCCCGGACTCGCCGGACTCGCTGGAAGAGTTCACGAACTATATCGAAGGCCGGTCCTCAATCCCTATCCCTACTTATTTCATTGGCGACTATGGCATTGCCTCCCCCAAGGTTCTATCGGCGGCTTTGAAGGACTCGGCCAACCAAGGGTTCAAGATGGATGGTCTCAAGATTTGTGAGAATTTGTATTGGCTGAAAGGCAGTGGAAATTTTGCACTCCATGGTATGACAAGGAACCCTTGAATTGAATTGTAATTTGTTTGAATTCAACTGATTAATATAGTTTTATTGTTTTTTTCCCCCTCAAAAGTTTCAACTTTTTGAGTGAATAGACAACTGATGGCTAACAATTGATGTATTGTAGTATTGTACTGTGATTTGGGGTGAATCTTAGTTGTGATTGGCACTATGATGGAAGTCTAGTTATTGTCATATATGATGGAAACCGAGGGAACTATAAACCTTTTAATGTAATGAAAGTGAGGAAGGGTGGTTCTGTACAGCTCGGATCATATCCGAACCATTAAATGCCATATGCTCCAACTGAGTCTGCAGACTAGAGCTTTTTTTCACTTAATGTCGGATTGATTTACCGGTCATGATTCATTTAAAAACGGAAATGCCGCAGCCACGTTAAATTTTAGAGCCCAACTGGAGGCGTTAACTAGATAGAATATCATTTTCCTTTGGGAAATGTTAAAAATTATTTATCACACAAAGAAAACATTGTGGCATCTGAATTTGGCTGGGGCAGAACCCTTATTGTTTAGAGATAAGTTCTGTTAAACATTTAAAAAAATTTCATCTACTGCAGATTTATTTATTTATTTCAATAGGATTGAGTTCCTTTGAATTTAAATTCAATTGCACTTCTTTGGTATATTCTTTTAGCAAATGTAGAACGAACATCTTCTTTTGGATAAAATTGAGCAAGAGTATAATATCACGTGTTATTTCTATTTCCTTTTTTTCTTTTTTCTTTTTTATATATTTGATAGCTGATTTATAGATTCATATTTAGGGTTATCTGTGGCGTATTTATCTGGTAGGCATTCAACAAGTAGTCAACAATTTGGGACGTACAGTCAAGATGATGTTGACGCATTGCGGGCATTAGCCGAGGAACCTGGAATAATAGACTTGTTCTTAACATATCCTTTGGTTATAAATGATCTTTCTGCCTCTATTAGCCACTCATTTTTCTATTTGCGTTCAATTCACTATAGGTTATAAATTGTGGTATTCCTTGTTATGCTACCTGTTTGTTTCACTTCCTTAGCTAGATATCACTAATGAATGGCCAAGTGGTGTCATGAATAGGGCTTCTGCATCTGATCTACCTCCAGAAATCTCAGATTCATCTGGTAGTGATTCCAACATATCGCAACTAGTAGCAGAAATCAAGCCTCGGTAAGTGGTGGTTGGTAATCCGTCCCCCTCCTCCCCCCAAGACAACGGATAAAGAAAAGACAACTAAGGAATATATAAATAAAACTAAAAAAACTTTTTCCTTCTCTAAGCATTTATCTTGTGGCTCTAGCTACAATTATTTGAAGGTCTAAGCTTTCAATTAGTAATGTACCATTATCAAGCACCACTTCTACTTTTTTATTTATTTCTTTATAATAATATATTGTTTGTGCGATTAAACACTTCTTGCTTCATTTTTATCATAGGTATTCTATAATATATCTTTCTAGATAATGACTCTTCCTAATGTATGGTTTCTAAGACTCTTGCTTCAACTGGAAAACCCAGCTTTCACAAAACCTATATGCAACAATAATTGATAGCCCCTTAAAATTTACATGTCTACAGATTAAAAATAATAATTTAATAATTCAAGGGGTTCCAACTTGTTTTGCTTATCATTACGTTGGTTGCACTATTGACTTATCCATGCTTATATTATATATATATATTAACAATGATAATTAATACGACTGGGAAGGCTACCAAACAACCCTGGTCATGCTCCATCCTTTCGATGATAGCAATTAATCATCCCGGACCTGTATATGGCACAGTTGCAGAAAGGATTTGTTTGCAAACTGGCAACAACAAATTGTTAGGAGGTTCGGCTAAGTTCAGAACTGTTTGTAGTATTCACAATGCAGTAACAAAAGTAGAAAGGAGAATAAAGAAGCAAGAGGCTAGTAGAACCTCGTCATAAAAGATATTGTGAGAATATGAAAAAATATCTCATTGCCTTCCATTCCTCTTTCTTCCTTTAGATGACAGAAATTCACAGTATTACACTGCACAATTTCATATTCTTTTTGTCTGTGCTCTAGCCTAAATAAGATGTAAGTTGTAACTTGTTTTCCCTGATTGAAAGTTGTATCTTTTGAAAGTTATATAGCACAGTTGCAGAAAGGATTTGTTTGCAAACTGCCAACAACAAATTGTTAGGATGCTCGGCTAAGTTCAGAACTGTTTGTAATATTCACAACGCAGTATCAAAAGTAGAAAGGAGAATAAAGAAGCAAGAGGCTAGTAGAACCTCATCATAAAAGATATTGTGAGAATATGAAATAATATCTCATTGCTTTCCATTTCTCTTTCGTCCTTTAGATGACAGAAATTCACAGTATTGCACTGCACAATTTCATATTCTTTTTGTCTGTGCTCTAGCCTAAATAAGATGTAAGTTGTAACTTGTTTTACCTGATTGAAAGTTGTATCTTTTGGTAGCTATCACATCGCAGGTACTAAGGGTGTATACTGTGCTCGAGAACCCTATGCTAATGTCGAGGCTGTACATGTTACCCGTTTCTTAGGTCTTGCTCCTGTTGGAAATAAAAATAAACAGGTTTGATTCTTATTCTCGTCATAATTTTCTGAACTTTTTCTTTGTTTTCTTGCATGGCTGTTGGTATTTTGGATTTTTTCTTTTCTTTTTCTGAATGTGCATTATGTTTCCAAGTTATTTGAGCTGAGCTTTGTTCTAAAAGGTATGCTTTAGTTAGTGTGTGCATATACATTAGACATCAGCTGGTGATCGGTAGTCGGGATCTGATGGCCAAAGTTTGGAGAATATTCATATTTAGCTTTGTGAATGGAATGCATGTTTCCTTTTTTTTATTTTCATGTTCTGTATGTAAAATTTTGTGAAACCCTTTCTGTACGTGTTTCAATCTACACATATCTGTTGCCTTCCTAACAGCATATGTGTGTCTTTGAGGGATGTATTTATGCATTCTTGATTTTATTCAGTTTTTAAGAGATACTGCATCCATTTGGCTTTGCTTCTAATTAGTCTCTTTCTAATAAATTGGAAATAACCGAAACATATGCTGTTTGTTTATGTAAAGAAAAAAGATCCATTTTCCTTTTCTGTTTTCACATCAACTGCATTTGGCTTCCAGGCATTTTATAACACTTGGTTTTTGCTTCTGGTCAGAAATTTATTCATGCAATTTCTCCTGCTCCAGCATCCACCATGTCTGCTGCTGAGATTTGCATGAAGCCACCAAATACTACTTTATCTCCATTTACATCTGTGGAAAACGCAGTCCATAATGAGGGAGTTGCGAAGAGGCCTAGTGATACTGGTTCTGACTCGCAGTATTGGCGGTATGATGTCTCCCAGAAACGGCAGAAAGGAGATGGTGATGGCAGTAAGCCATGTTTTAAGTTTTTATCTTCAGGGTCTTGTCCACGAGGGGAGAATTGCCACTTTCGGCATGATGGAGATGCAAGGGAACAATGTATGAGAGGTGTGTGCTTTGATTTTCTTAACAAAGGAAAATGTGAAAGGGGTCTGGAGTGCAACTTCAAGCACACTTTACTGGAGGAAGGTGAGAGCTTGCCTAACAGGAGACCTAGATCTGGAAATGCTGACGCTAACAGGTTGTACTTTATTGAACTACTCATTCTTCCTGATTTGTTTGAATGGTCATTACAAATTAATTTTATTTCAACTTGAGATGCACGAGTCATTATATTGTGTTAAGCAAGAATGTGTGATTTCACTATTTACTTATGCTCCGTTTGGTAGGATGGAAGAAAATTGGATGGAAGGGAGAGAAGAGGAGGTAAATGAAACATCCTTAGGGAAGAGATTGTGCCCTTCCCTCTTTTTGTTTGGTTAGATGGAAGAGAAGAGAATAAGACAATACCTTATTTTGTTTGTTAGGAGAGAAGAAAAGAAAGAGTGCTAATTATAACTAAAGTATTGTAATTTAAAAACATTTATAATAGCCTTGCCTTTCTTCCTTCGTATCTTCCGTCCTCCCTGTCCATATTTGGAGGGATGAAAATTTGTGGAGGAGGAAGGATGACTCATCCATCCTCTTTCCTCTTCTCTCCTTATCTCCTCTCTACCAAACGAAGGAAATATGTTTCTTCCTTCCTATCTTCCATCCACCCATCTTCTTTCCTTCCTACCAACTGGAGCATTAATTTCTGATTATCTTATTTCTCATACTTTCTATTCCAGTTTGTGATAGTAATGATCATTCTGCCACTGAGTTTCAGGTCAAAAGATTGCTGGTTTTGTTTGTCAAGTCCCAAGCTGGAGTCACATCTAATCACTAGCATTGGGGAACATTACTACTGTGCACTTGCTAAAGGACCACTAGTTCAAGATCACGTGCTGATGGTACCTGTTGAGCATTTGCCTAATACCCTTTCTTTATCCCCAGAATGCGAAATGGAGTTGGCTAGATTTCAAAGCAGTCTCAAAATGTATTTCAATAATCAAGGGAAGGAAGTGGTTTTTTTTGAGTTGGTTTTCAAACGAGGTACTCATGCTAATCTTCAGGTAAAATAAATTTCCGTTTCAATATTTTTAACTTTATGCTTAATGAGTAAAGTGGAGTGCTTATGCAATTTATCCTGCGCTGACAAGAGTTAGTTGGTAAAAAATTTTATCTTGCTGTGTGTCTTTTTCTCATGTTCTTTTTTTTTTTTTTTTTTACCTTTTTCTCACTGGTAAATTTTCCAAAAATATCTTTAGGAGAAAATCAAGTGATTCTCTTCTGTGGTAGTCTATAGTGTGTTTGTTAATATCTCCTCAGTGTTGGCCATGGGGCAGGAGAAGTATATTAGGGTTCACCTTACTGTAATACCGTTACTTCCATTTCCTATGTGCAGAATTAAGAATGCAGTATATAAAATAACTACTTTTGTAATTCTGAATTCGTGATTCTTTATGTTTCTGTGATGCATTGGCAGGATTTGTTTTTTTGCTTATATTTTACTACTTATGCTCTTATGTTTATTTCTCTATTTCAATTATGCATGTTCCGTTGCAGGTTGTTCCTATTCCGTCATCTAAAGCATCTGCTGTTCAACGAATTTTTGATTTAGCTGCTGAAAAGTTGGGGTTCAAATTTGTGGTGATGAAAAGTAAGTTAATTCTTCTAGTAACTAATGCATACAGGTTCTGGGGATTGCTTTGTTACTTGGCTCCTTCAAATGCCTTTAAGGTTATCTGGTTTGTTTTACACTGTTTTCTGATACTCCCTCCGTGTCAAAATTCTTGGGTGTTTTGGGGAATCCAACTTTTTATGATGGTAGGTTTTTAATATATATTTTTTATTATATTGATAAAAGTGAATTTTCAAATTTATCCTTGCTCAAAGACAAAAGAGTACTTTGAAATTACTGCACTTGTTTAATAAAGTAAACAAGTGCACTTGTTTAGTAGTGCATCTTCCATTTTTGGATGTCCCAAAATAGAAAGATGGACAAGTACTTTGGGACGGAGGGAGTATAAATTTTGTTGGACATGTAACCAGCTTGACCTCAGTTAAATATGACAGGATGATAAAATTACTCAATGGACCAGGAATTAGTAATATGTTTGCCTTCAGTTGGTCTTTGTCTTTTTTATCCCCTTCATTTTCCCTATTTGAATTCAGAGTTGGTTTTCATCAAATTTGTGATTAATCTGTTTCACTTTACACCCCTCTTTTTTTCTTTTCTTTTTTTTTTCAATAAAAAAACAAAAGCAAGAACATTAAATCAATCTCAATTGGCTTCAAAAAAAAAAAAAAAAAAAAAGGCTGGGTAATGCAGTCCTATCAATTCATTTTCATGGCTTATGTATCTTCAATCTGATGTTATTTTGATTGCAGATGATAATAATTCTGAAGGGAGAAAATTGTTGCGGATGCAGTTTAATAACAATTGCAGTTTATTCTATGTGGAGCTTCCTGGAGGTACAATACTATCACATTCCGTCGAGGAGAATGAGAAATTCCCAGTCCAGTTTGGTCGTGAGGTTAGATACTAATATTCAGCTACTAAAATGTCATATTCTAACTTTACTAGTTGCTTTAATTATTATCTGTGGTGGTAAATGAGTCTTGGGTAATTGGTTTTAATCAGTGTATTTTCTTATTAATTAATTGATTCCTCACCTATTTGTTGTTGAAAACCAAAGTGATTTACCCCATATTAGAGTTTCTCCATATTATTCATATTTTCAACTATTTATTTGTGGTCGGTTATTCATGCTTTCAATTAACTTCACCTGAACTAGAATGTTGTTTCTATCACCCTCATCTTTTACAATAAGATTTACCATCATGGTGTGGGACTTCTGGTTATGTCCGCAAACCAGATGACAGGTTTACATAAAGATTCACTATTGATTGATGAGTGATGATATAAATCACATACTATGAATTCTTTTATTCGTAGAGGCTAAATGTGTTCCGAATGTCACACGTTTCCCTTATTTTGCGTTGATGGATCAGTGTTGTAACTCCAGTGAACAAAAAGGACTTTCACGTCTATTATATATGTCAATAAAATGCATTCTAACACATGATTGTACAAGTTGCTCATAGCAGTTATTTGAAAAATCCAAATGATCACAAGCATATAGTTTTAAATCTTTTTGTGAATCATCAGCCCGAGAATTTCCATGTGACCTGACAGGATGGTTTGATTAGCAAATAGGGTTGATATATCATATCACCATAGGTCTGGGCAATCACCAAACTGTAGTTATTTGGTATAAATATTGTTTTATTGGACTGGATGGGTTATACTAATTTCATGATTTGGCATTTTCTATATATGATCAAGAAAAAGGAATTAAAATGAATGTTCTTTCAATCTTGTTACTAAATTAATGAGTTATGATATTTAGATAGATTTGCTTATCTAATGATGCTCTGAGGCTGTTAAATGGTAACTCTTACTGGCTTCTTGACATATATCATATGCACGGTGCAATACAAATCATTTGAATATATTGTGAATTTTTGGTTCAGAATTAGAGATCATTTACCCTCATGAGCTATAACTTGAAATTTCCTTTGACGAGAAACGCACTACTCTTTATTATATATACTATATGATTGTACACTTCAAGCTAGACCTATTGTATTGAATGGAATATTACAGGTTTTAGCAGGCTTGCTGAACGTGGCAGATAAGGCTGATTGGAGAAACTGTAAGTTCAGCAAAGAAGAGGAATTGAAAATGGCAGAAAGTTTCAAGAATGAATTTGAAGAATATGACCCAAATCGGTAATTCTTAGAAGAACAGAAGGTATGGAAACTAGAATTGTTAGTCTAGTGTTCATTGTACCATTGCTACTTTTCCATTGAATGGTGCTAGGATAATATAATCGTCTTTTAAGTGGAAGAGTGCCAACTCAGAAGACATCTGCTCGGTGGTCTGATTGCCCCCGCCACAAACTGCCGCGTGACGTTATTGTGTTTAGATTCAGGTCGTTAAGAGAAGGTGCCTTCCCCATGTATTTCAGCTCTGATGTCGTGCTCAAAGGTGAAAATTCTCATGTGAGGAACCACATTTCAAATTTAAATTCCGGTCTATGTTTGCCATTGGGAATGAAATAGGACTAGATAGTTATTTTTAGTAGCATTCCTCTAGGCGTTGAAAAAAATTGAAAATTTTGAAATCATATATGTAAAATATATGTGGAGTTTGTATCCAATCTCTCTCTCTCTCTCTATTTGTACAAACAGGAGTGAGCCTCCAGAAGCAGGAAATATTTGCCCAGTTTACGTCCATATGTTTCTCTGCTGTCTGATTAGATTTCATGGTAGAGAGTAGTAGGTTTTTTCTTTTTCTTTTAAAAGGCTTGAACACGGCTCACAGACACAAGAAGTAACTTAACCACTCAGGCAAAACCGCAAGGTCCGCAAGAACGTTTCGCAAAGAATAAAACCGTATATTTCATGATTTTATCACCAGATAATTAGATTGAGGAATAGGGAACGAAATGGAGCCGTGTATTTAAATTCGAGGTAAATTTGAATCTGCACAATTATCTTGGTATCGGAGTTATTTTGGGTACGAGTCTGTACATTGATCCATTTAATGCCGTACTAATACATTTATACCTATGGACCTATTGTTGATTCGTATTCATATTTTGATCGCTTCTAAATTCGGATTTAAAAATTAGTCTAAACAAAATCAAAATACTTTTGAATGTGTATATTCTCTAGTCAAATTAGATCCATTTCATGTCTATTGAGGAATTGTAAGGTTTGAGAAGTGTTCCATTCTTTGAAATTTTGTTTTGAGCATTACAGGGACTTCAATAGTGGTGCACAATCCAAATAAAATTGTTCTTACATTAATAAAAATAATAATGATGATGGTACTTAGATTCTTTTTTGTGTACTTGGCTCAATGTTAATACGGAGTAAATATTACTGCAATTCTTAACAGTGATGAAAAAAAAAAAAAATAGAAAAAAAAATGTGGAGAAAGAAAAAAGAAAAAGAAAAAAGACAAGAGATTAATGATATCATTGTAATGATACTTTTTATTCGCTTGATACAGTGAGTAAATTCAAGTGTGAGTTTTATTCACTATATTAAAGGGCTATAAATAAGTTTGAGAATTTTGCTTAAGAATTATTTTCAGTAAAAAAGAAACTTACGAAGCTCAAGTATTTTTAACATTAGTCAGGTCTATGTACATCTTTTAACTGAGGTAAAATTAAGGATCAAATTTTAATAATAAGTTAATCATTTAAATAATGATAGTTACGAACTCTATTTGAATTTTTTTCATTATTTTGTTAAATTGATACTAATAATAAAATAAAAGTAAATTAAGATTTAAACGAAGAAAATAAAAATAATTTAATAAAAAATAAAAATTTAATGAGAAGGGTAAAATAGTTTTTTTATGATGAATTTGTCTTTAATTATAATAAATCATTAGTTTAGGAGGCAGGTTGTATTTCATGTAAATTATTTGCAAAAGGATAATAATAATTCAGGGTTTTTTTTTTTCTCCATCACGCGGTCAAAGCCGGGCCTTTTAAGATTTGCTAACATTGAACGGTCGAAGAAAAGTCTAGGCGAGAGAACCATGGACCTTAATGAACTGCCGGAGTACTGAATATCACAAGAGTCATAAAGTAGTGCGTAGGACTTGTGCGTTTCGGTCCTCAGATAACACAGCAGAGAAGGCGAGGCCAAGATCTATCAATTGCTTCATCACAAAATGGTACCAAATTTCCGAACTTTCTCCCAAAATTGCTGTTTCTGTTTTTCAAAAAATTTCAGCTAATTTTTGTGTTTTCGTTTTGAAGGCTACGTCAGTGAAAGCAATCTCGAGCCCCGTCCCTGATGTCTGGTACCCAACCCTATCTGTCTTCATGCTATTGATCGGCCTTGTACTCACTGCTTCTTTCTTCATGTAAGCAACCTGATCCAAAACACTTTCTGTGATTTTTAAAATAAGGCACCCTTTTTTTTGTGTTTTCATGAAATGATCTGATCCAGAATGGTTTTTGCGTGTTTTTTTTTAGAACAATTACAAGCTGTTTAATTCAAGTGTATTTGAGAATTTTATAGATTTTAATTTCAATCAAGCGAATTGGGTATATTGTCATTTTGATCTGTCTGGAAGGTAAGTATCAGGAGGATTTGGTGAATGAGAAGTGGATCCATGTGCATTGTTGTATGGTTGGAATATGATTCTTATTTTCATGTAATACTATATGCGAATGTGTTGGGGAAATTCTTGATTCTTGACCCAGGATAATCTTAAGAGGAGGAGACAAGTTGTGGTCAATTGTTGTTGTATGTGCAAGAGAGACGAGGAAATGGTTAATCATCTTCTTTTATGTTGCCCAGTGGCTTGGGATTGCTGGGCTTTGATGTTGGGTTTGTCTGGGTTCAGTGGGTTATGCCCAGGTCGGTCTTCTAGAGGCTTGAGAGGTTGTATAGCGGGGGCCCCAAGCTCGTGATTTCTGGAGGGTCACGCCTGTGCACGTCTGGTGGTGTTTATGGCTTGAAAGATATAGGAGATCCTTTGAAGGGAAGGAGACTCCCATCGGTGGGCTGAAGTTCTCCATTATTAATTCTCTTTTTCGTTGGGTTATAAGGAGAAATTGTAAAATCTCGGATGAGGTAGTTGACTTTTTAGTCTCTTTGAGAGATCAGAGGCCCTATTTGGCCTTGTGTAGCTTTGGAGGGATGCAGTCCCCTTTTGAACGCTTCTTTACACAATCTTATTTATCAACAACATGTAATACTTTGTGCGTCCACTTTATATTGAATTATGAATTCAGTTCGTCTGGTTGTCGATTATGTTATAGCCAAACACATCCCACCTGTAGTTGAAATATTTTTTATGGTGCAGACCTTTAATTTTTCCTGCAAGGCTTCAAGAGGAAGTGAACTTGACAATGGAATGAAAGGTGGTGTGCAAGGGCCAGCATGGTTTAGAAATTGTTGCCATGGCTTCTGCCTTATAGAATAGGCCTGTAGTTTGAAATGGCTTGGAACGTTTTCCAAGTAACCTAACACTCTTGCTGCTTCTTGTCATTGGAGAAATATGAAATGTATGATAATAATATGAGATCCTTATCGGCTAGTACATGTATTCCAACGAGCAATGTGTCACATGTTTAAGTTGAATTCAGTAGATTAGTTGGCTAGTCCTCTTGAGCTGTCTTGGTTGTCTGGGTGCCGGTCTCATTGTAAATCGTGGGTAACATTTTTTTTATCTCAAACCATGACTTACTCTCGTTATGGCTTTCCTTGTTTTTCATTTGATTTCAACTGGAACCATATCATATCTTACTTGTGCAACCATTGGCCTTCAATGGAATAACCAAACCATCTTAACCAACTTCCCATTGGTCACTTCTATTCATCCATTCTTGTTGGTGTGTTTCATTGTTGATTTATGCGCCTTGTTTACTAGCAGAGTATCTGGAAATTCAATTCTCTGCTATCCCAAAAATATGGTGTCAAAAGAATATACATTTCTCCTTTATTTTGGTGGAATTAGTTTCTCATATATTCTTCAAGAATTTAGAATTTGATACTGGAAGTGGAACTTTATCTATTTTTTTCCATGTGCGCTCTATTTGTTCTGTTTGTTTGCCAAATTCTTCACCTTCTCTGGATTATCTGAACTAATTTTTTAAGTTGCCATTAAAGTTTAAAGCCCTAATGTGAGTAATGAGTGTCTACTACCAGTAAACACCTGTAAATTGCTCTAGAAAGAAGCATAACACCATCTGGCCTTGCCATTGCCTCATGTGGAGCTAATATTAAAACCACACTCGACTAGAGGTTTCCACTTCCATTATTTGTAAAAATAGTAGAATCGGCCATAAATCATCACCACCATTGTTTGTCTTTTTAATTCCATATAGTGCATTTCGACTTGCTTTAAATTATTCAAGGTGATCAAGATTAGTTAAGCTACACTTCTTGATCTCCTTCATTCTCTTTTTCTTTGGAGGGGTATTATAGATGCATAATTTGATGGTTTTAGTGGTAGGACGCTTTTTGTGGATAAGTGTCTGATATTGATTCTATTGGTGATAAACTCAAGGTTTCCTTTTGGGGATTTAATGGGTTGGGTGGATCCCTTTTCTGGATGAGGTGGCAAATATTGTCAGGTGATAGATATGAGTCATAGAAGAGGCATTCTATAGTTTGGGAGCTTATCTTTGCCTTTTTGAGACAACGACATAGGTTTGTCTCCATGTTTTTCACTTTCTTTCTTCTTCTTCTTCCTCCTCTTCTTTTTATTTATTTATTTATATTTTTTGACTTTAAGGATAAGGTTTTTGGTACTTCCAGTCCCTTTAGGGATTTTTGTTTGGTATCAACTATGTTTCAGTGGTATATAATTCCAAGTTTCTAAATATCTACTGCAAAAGGTACCAAGTTAGCTTTGAATATATCAGGTAGAGCACTAAACTCTTGCTTCTTTTTTCTCTTCATGCTTGTCTAAAAGGGAAATATGGAAGGCACACTGATAGTGATATATATATATATATATATATAGTTATTTATAATATATCCCATATAAACCTTTTGCTTCCAAGCCTGCTTCTATTGCTGATGGTTGACCTGTCATAATACTTTGGGTTTTCTATAAGTTCAAAATAATCCAGCTTTGTCCTGCTTACCTATCGAAAAGATAATGATGAATAACAACAATACAGCTGAGGCACAGTTAACTGGCTTGGGCTATAATTACATTCATTGCACTCCTGGGTGAAATGGCTTCTGAGTGTAGATTTTCTTCTACACTGTGACCCACATTCAGGGGGTCACCTGATGTTGTGGACACCTTGTGAGGGCAAGGTGTGAGAGAGACATGAAGGATCATTAAGCAAAATATATGGCCCTACATCAAGTAGACTAGTAGAATTGGATTCTTATAAACAATCTGAGTTGTTGAGTCAAATGTTGAGAACAAACATCGTGATCAAATGATGAACTGGTTCTTATGATTGTAGTGAATAATGCAGCAGTATTTATTTATTAAAAGGGAGAAGATATTCTGTATGTGTAGTCTAACGTATTGGTTGTTGGCTTGATTTATAGTGTTAAAGTAACATAATCCTCACAGGCGGGGAACTTTTGATGCTTCTCCAATTGATTTGAATTTTGTGGGAGTCAAGTAAAAACGTCTGATACTGATAAGCTGTTAGCTATGCTAATTTTATTTACTGAAAATGAATTTTTTTTTTTTGTGTCATGCTGCTTTACACATGATCTGAGACTTTCATTTCCTGGCTAAGAACTTACCGCGGGGATGAGTTGGATATTGTTAATCTTCTGCTCAAATTTCAATGAGCTAGTGTAAACTTTTGACTGTCTAAAATCATATGGTAGCATCATTGATTTTAGAATGCAAAATATTTTACCTTTCAGGACATCAATGTCTGTTAGCTTTCACGTCTAGTGGCATTTTTTGAAGTTATGATCTAATAACAGCATTAAATTTATGTTGCAGATATGAAGCAACCTCTTCTAGGAAAAACCGCAGCCTTGCTAAGGAGCTCATGACAGGAACAGTTGCGTCTGTCTTCTTGGTAAGTTCAAGTATCTTCATTCCTATGTTGGAACTTTATATTCATTGGTTCTTCAAATTTTTATTTTAAAATTTTTTGCTGATGCACTTTGATTTCCTTGGTGCAGGGTTTTGGATCCTTATTCTTGCTTCTTGCATGTGGTGTTTATGTTTGATTTCTACACATTGAACCAGTTACAATTCCGCTGAACATGATGGGTTTTGCATGAATGAAGGATTATAGCTTTGAAATATCATCAGTTAGAACTTCTTATGAATTATTATTTGAGTGCAAACTTTACTTTATCACATGATACGGTTCGTTGCGGCAAATGAAATATTGCAAAAAATTAATGAGAATATCTTGTATTTGGGTTCGACTCCCAGATCAGTAGTGGATTTTGGCTTGACCAACCTAAATGCTAGCTATATGCAAAATAAAAAGTAGGTGGATCTTGGGGGCATTGTCGCTTCTCATTATGCTGTGCTTTTAATGCCTGCGCTATGATTCATTGTTGTTTCTCAATTAGGGTTGTTTAATGTGTTGGCGGCCTGGAGGCGTTGGATCCGTTTGGTTTGCAGATTGCCATTATGAGGATTTTCAAGAATGCTCTTTTTCTTTTTCTTTTATTGTTATTATTATTATTATAGGAAATAGAGGATTTTCAAGAATGAATATGGGGTATGTCATATTTGGACTTTTTAGAGTGAAAGGTGAGTGTTTCGAGTCCCCTGACAAATGAATGTGTCAAGGAAAAAAGAAATTGACCAATGGGCAGTTGGATCTGTGAGTCTTGCAAGAAATTCTAGTGGCTCAATCTATGTGTTAAGCACTGCAGCTTAAATTGCCATTACTTTATACCAGTTGAACTTAAATGTTAAGTTCAGATATTATAACACATTGCTACATCCAATTGTGTGTAATGGCGGAGTCTTGTTTCAATTGCAATATGCTAAGAATGGTGGCTTGGTGGTTTTTTATTTTTTATTTATTATATCTTTCAAATTGGAAGGTTGGGGGTTTAAGTTTTGGTTGAGTTTCTTGCGTTAAAAAAAAAAAAAAAAAGAAAGAAGAAAGGGCAAACCTTGTCATGAGATATAAAGTACCACCGACGAGTTAGTGAAGCAAGAGAAAAGAATTTCACAATAAAGTATGGAAATATGCGTTATTTTTCTGCTGTACAACAACCTCCTGAATGTTCTCCTGTGAGATTTAAAAATTATTTAGTTGTAGTACTACTCAATTCATATATTCATATATATTTAATAATTTTTCAATCAATAATTCATGTGGAACAAAACTCTTCTTAAGATAATAGACTAATCTTGTGAGATTTAAAAATTATTAAGTTGTGGCATTACTCAATTCATATATTCATATATATTCAATAATTTTTCAATCAATAATCGATGTGAAACAAAACTCTTCTTAAGATAATAGACTAAGGTAAATTAGTATTAAAATTAAAAAAAAATTAAGAATTTTAGAAGTTCAATTTTCAGAAATATCATCAAATGTTCCTTATTTTTGGCGAAAGGCTTTTTGGATGCTTTTTGAGTTTAAAAATTCATTTTGAGACTATAGAAAGCCCGTCAAACAAGTTCTAAATTTTAATAGCTCACTAGATGTTGTACACCCAATAAAGCGCGATGTGATGTTTGACCAATACAAGAAAATGTTGCAGCGAGAAATCACAAAAAGTAAATAGGCTGATGGTAACGTACAGGGCAAAAGTATACATGGTGGAGTATTTTTTATTTTATTTATTATTTTTTTTTAAGAGGCAAAATAGAAACCATTTAGGGAGAAAATTCTATGGATAATTTTCAAAAAATACGAAAATTGAGATTGTCTATCAGATTTAGTGAAATGAAATGAAGATGCGAAGAAGAGTAAACTACCCTTGGTGGAGATGTATAATTTAGACTTCGTGTGCTTCAATTTTTCAAAAATAAAAGTTTTGATTCATAAAAGAGTAGAAAATTCACAAATTCATTAAGCTATTAAGTTTTTTAGTTTTATTAATGAAAATAGTGTCTTTTTTTTTTTTTTTTTTTTTTTTCATGTTTGTGAATATAGTCTAAGAGTTTTTAAAAAAATCAATTTATTACTCTTTTTTATTTTATTTTTCTTCTCCCTAAAAAAAACAATTTGAATGGGTCACTTGAATTTTAAATTTTAAAAAATTTAATTCAAAATTTGTAATAAATTTTGCATGGAATTTTAATTTTCTTAATTATTTTTTTTTGTCAAATTTTACAAATTTTAATTTCAATTTCAATGTTGTAATAATATCTCTAACCTGTTTCGACTCGGTTGAGTCACAGTACTCGCTACTCACTACAGTGCACAGAGGTAGGTGCAAGTGTTATTGAGCTATACGAGGGTTTAACTGTGAGTAGCGGTGAGCCTCCTATAGTCCAAATCCATGGAAACATCATCAACGTTGCCAAGAAAGAGAGGGAGGAAACCCAAAAAATCGAAAAACGAGGAAGAGGTAGAGAGAGAAGCAACCAAAGAGCAGAAGATGAGAGAGAAAGGTGAGAAGAAGTCGGCGGTTGATGAGAAGTACCTTCAGTGGAAGTCTATTGTTCCACTGCTCTATGACTGGCTCACTAATCACAATCTCGTCTGGCCCTCTCTCTCTTGCCGGTAACATTTCACACACATATGTATCTATATGTGCATTTTCTATATATACCAGCCTAGGGTTTTTTTTTTTAATTTGTTTATGTCTTCAAATGGTTAGTAGTAGACATTGTGTTTTCAAGCTCGGATCTTGATGAATTTTACCATCTAGACATCTCTAGATTAGCTTTCAGCTGTTTCAATTGTTTCATATAGATAAAATCTGAATTCATATGCACAAACACACACATATACATACTGAATTATGACCAAATCGACCTTTTCTTTGGGTGATTTTGGATTGTTGAACTTATGTTTTGGTTTTGACATGAAGCTGGTTATTGGGAAATTTCTTTTGTTTGATTAGTGTTCTATATTGTTGCTTTTGATAATGGATTTGATTTTCCTGTGAGGCTAGATGGGGTCCACAACTTGAGCAAGGGAAATACAAGAATCGACAACGTCTATACCTCTCTGAACAGGCAAGCTCTTCATATCTATAATTTCAAGAGTTTGCTTGTCAATGTGTTTGTGGAATCCTATTATTATTATTTTTATTTTTATATCATTATGTTGTATGCTTTTTGGTTCATATATTTTGTAGTTGCATTAGATATAATAGCAGTGCGTAGTTTTGTTTGAATTAATTGTTGTTGACCTTTGTTGAGAGAGACCAAAAGGAAGTGTAAGCATTGTTGGAAGAAATATCTTATCCTTTTTTTCACTATCCTTTTGTTTTTCTAGTTTATATATTACTCTATTAAAAAAAAAAATTTATTGTACATATTGTAGCAAAAAGTTATTTTCTAATCATATCCGAGTATCTTCTATAAATTTTTTGTACTTTTTTTAATTATCCTAGGAAGTGGAACTTCAACAAGCTCATTCAGTAACGTATGCAAGTATGCAACACACACAACATAATCAAATTTCATTAGTCTTATGCAATTTTTTCCTTTCATATGGCTCGTCATTATCTTTCTTTTTATTTATTTAAATCTATGCTAGGGTATGATCTTTTGGACCTATTATCTCCCTTCTTTTCTTATCATTGTTGTAATGAAGCTAATTTTTTCTGCCTGTGTATTTATGCATGGAACTGGCACTAACGTGCCCTTTTGTTGAGAAATATTGTAATACGGATCCCATGAATCTCCATGAACATGCCTTGTACTTTACAAGTTTATCTGCCTCTTTTCTCTCTCTAATTTTTCTCTTTTGTTTGCCAGACTGATCGTACTGTTCCAAATACTCTGGTCATTGCAAATTGTGAAGTTGTCAAACCTAGGGTGGCAGCTCCAGAGCACATATCACAGGTTATTTTGTATTTATATGATATTTTACTTTTGTTGTTTTTCTTTTTCATTGTTCTTTGATAATCATGAGCTTTTGCATGTTGCTCTGATTTCTTCTGACTATAATGGCATGATTTTCCAGTTCAATGAAGAAGCACGCTCGCCATTTGTGAAGAAGTACAAAACTATAATACATCCGGGGGAGGTATGGTCTACATACTCAAAACTCATAAAAACAAATGATCGACATCCCTATGCACAAACAACAAACTTGAAGAGAGGCGTATTGGCTCTAGCGTAGAAGAAATGGATTGAATAATAAAAAAGTGGGTTTTCTACTAACATTACTTAAGCATATGTGTCAAAATTTTATTGCCTGAATAAATTGTCAATTTGTTTTGATAAAACGATGTCGTTCAACGAAGGTCATTTTTGGTATTTTATATCTTTACTAATGGCTATCTGACGGCTTGGACTGATTTGCACATTTGTAAAAGTTCAGGGGTTATTTCTAGTTGCAATTTACCCTTTATTTTATACATTTTCCCAAATAATCTACGTGATTCCCTTTCAAGGGCTTTAGGGTTGAAGTATATTAGAATTGCCTCCCTCTCTTTTTGCTACCAAATATCTCTAGATTTTAACAAACAAACAGTTTGATCTTTCTCGCTAAAGCTACAAACCAATTTTTATTTTTTATTTTTATGTTTATATATTTATTTATTAATTATGCAAGCTCTTTTAGAGTTTAACTGGTTTTTTGTTGTTTGAACTTTATGGTGAAATTTTAATTTGTTGCTTTGTTATTGAAATAATGGTTGCTAAGACAAAAGAAAGTGAAGTAGTGGTCTTACATGGGATCTCTGCAATTGTACTGATGATTGTAGGAGTGGAAATGCTAGAATATCATTTAAAGTGTAATTATTGTGATAATGATTCGCTGGTTTTGCAAGCTATTGATTGACCAACTTTAGTTCGATTATAATTTTGATGTGGTTTAAAAATTAAACTTATGCTTAATGTATGTAAAAGTGAAAAGGATATTCATTGCTTTCACTCTTGATACCTTTGGCTCATATTTTGTGTCATAAGTTCATTGAAATATTCCCTACTCAATTTTTATGACGTAGTAGACTACAAGAGGGGTGATTTCTTATTATCTATTTGATTAATGTTTGTTGCTATAATCATCCTGTTGCAGGTGAACAGAATAAGGGAACTTCCACAAAACAATAATATTGTGGCAACCCATACTGACTGTCCCGAAGTAAGTGATTAAATCAATGTTTTATGGAATTTAATTTGGAAGAAAGGATTCTTAGGACTTGCTCTCTTTTGTTCTTGGTGTAATTGATTAAAAAATAAAATTTTACCTAATGTAATACTTATCAGAAAAAAGTTTCACCTAATTTGACAACATTGAATCAGGTTCTCATTTGGGACATTGAAGCCCAACCTAATCGTCATGCTGTCCTTGGAGCTGCCGATTCTCGTCCAGATTTGGTGTGTTCTTTTGCTAGACAATAAGCATAGTAATTGTTTGTACGGTATTTTGTCCTGGTTATGTTTTTGCGTGCTTTTTTCTTTTTCAACTAATTAAAAAAAAGGGTATCTATCACAGCGATTTTTACAATTACTTGACTTCACAAGTACATGCCAAAGGATCACTTGACTGCTTTTTAAAACTAAAACCAGCAATAAATAATTGCTCTCTTGTGAATTAGAAAACATAAAAAATGGTAAGAATCTTTTATAATTTAACCAGTTCTTTTTTCAGTTGCTATAAGTTTATCAATTATAGGTGAGTAAATGCTAGTTTTTATTTATTATAAAGATTTTAAGGACATTGATGAAGAGGAGATAATGGTTTTGGAATTATATTTCGAATAAGATTATTATTTCTCTTGTATTTAGATAACTGGGAGGATCTCTCTCTCTCTCTCTCGTGCAACCCTGACATGTGCATGTCCCCTCTCTCAGTAGTAGATTAGTGGGGATTGTCAAATTATTGACCTTTTTATAGTACAAACTTATATTATTATATATCAAGATATTCCTGGTGTACCAAAGGGCCTCTACCCCAGTGGTATAACCTCCCCATCCTCAGAGGAGGGGAGGCTTGCATGGGCAAAGCGTGTGTGAGTACTTATTTGATAAAAAAGAAGATAATCTTGGTATCCATCTCGACAAATGAATAATTTCAGAACAAGTGGGCTCTAATTGAGATATCTTTATGTTGTTTATAAATCAGCACATTTTAATGTTACTCTAAATTGCTACAGTAAAATTGGAATGTGTTTTATTCTCTGAATCTTTTTTGAGAAGCTTATTTTCCTTTAACAATTGTCATTCTTTATCCCAAGAAAATATTCTTCTGAAAATTTTCTCCACATCTGTGAATTTTTTTTTGTTGAAACAAGCCCCAGCTGAGGAAGGATGTAGCAAAGATTTGGTGGATTCCTCCTGCATCTGGCTTTTATTTCTCATCATAAATAGAAATCTGAAATAAAATGGTGTATAAGATCCTTCTCACTGCAGAAGGAGCATCGTTTCTTGCTAATGGCTGAGTCTCTCTGGGAAAAGGATGGGCTGTTATATGCTTTTTGTGTCAAATTTGGTAAATCAGATGGTAGTTAGTATTTATACATGTCTTGAGAAAAGTACTCTATTGATATCTGTAATTATTTATGGGTAGACATGTATTTTATATAAACTTGAAGGATATGAACTGATACATGCAACATTTTTGTAACTTAAAAGCTCAATGACATAATGCCACTTTCTTAGAATAACTAAGAGGGAATTCTCGATATAGAACATCACAAGAAATTACATGACAATATGCCCATCAACAACCTTACCCGGTGGTATTGTAAATGGTCCCGTACATTTGTTTCCCCAATATTATTGCACCAAAGATCTGTATGAATTGCTACAGAAGTTTGCAGGCCTATGGGATACCTTATCAGCGATCAATTTCATCTGTTTTGTAGAACCATCATTCTATGGCTCACTTGATGTGCATGTATTTTCATGGAATTATGCCCCATTAACAGAATTTTTCCTTCTGCAGGTATTGACTGGACATCAAGAAAATGCAGAATTTGCTCTTGCAATGTGCCCTACTGAACCCTTTGTGCTCTCTGGAGGTTGAAAAGTTCTTGTAATTTTCATTTTATTAATGATCTAATTCTTCAAACTCTAACTATATATCATAAGTGTATTCTGTTTTATATCAAATGGTAGTGCAAAAAAATGAGAATTTTATAGTTAATTATATATGCCTTTCCTCTTACAGGATTTGGAACACTAAAAAAAGCTTGTTTATTTTCTGTTTGAAGTTTCGGTTACATATAAATGGAAATTTGATATTGTATGTTAATGTCTAATGATTTTAGGTGAATGCTGTATTCATTCACATTATATCGAGTTTTAAAGTGTGTTTGTATCTCTTCTTTTCTAGAATTTTCTTTTTCCCGCTGGTTTGCAATGGGATTAATTCATTATTATTACCCTTCTGAATAAGGAGAATTTATGACAGGGAAGGACAAGTCTGTGGTTTTGTGGAGCATCCATGATCATATATCAACATTAAACGCAGATGTACCCAAGTCTACAGGATCTACTGGATCAATCATTAAAGCTACTGATAACCCTTCTATTGGACCACGAGGGATCTTCCATGGGCATGAGGATACTGTTGAAGATGTGCAGTTCTGTCCATCAAGGTAACTGATCTGGTTGGATAGTTTCGATCATGTAGCTGATCTGGTTTTTCAGTTCTGTGCACTATAACTGTCTCATGCCTTCTGATGGGCATGCCAGGATGTTAGGCATGATTTCTTTTCTTCAGGTACTTTGATTAAAAAAAATTATCTTGATATCGTATCTGCTGACTTCTGCACTCTTTCTAAAATATTTTAAGAAAATGCTAGGTGAAATTTGTTCCAATTTATCTCAATTCTTTTTACTTTTCCATCTGCAGTATTTGCAGCATATTATGTAGTTTCTTGGTTTTTGGTGGGATCTTCTGTTTCTGACAATTTTTGTTATTGATGAAGTCCACAGGAGTTTTGTAGTGTAGGTGATGATTCTTGCCTTATACTATGGGATGCACGAGTTGGCGTTAGCCCAGTTGTGAAGGTGACACCTCCCACTTTTAATTGCTTGCTAGCTTACTTTTTCCTTTGGATAATGAACCTCGTTGTATCCATGGAAACACATATTACCTGAGGATTAATTTGTAAGTATGGCTCTAGAAATAAGCAATATATTTGCGTTCGGCACAAAGCTTCAAGCCTTTAAGCCATCCATTGAATTGCTCAAGAATTATACCTTTATTGCTGGGAATTGTATTCAACAAGGGATGTAAACCAATGTCTATATGGAAGGTTGGTTGTACATTCTGGAAGGTTCAACCATTTTGAAACCTGCAACTTAAGAACATACTGATGGTGACACATTATAATAATTTAGTTTTTTTTTTTTTTTTTTTGGGGGTGGGGGGGGGGGGGGGGGGGGGGGGGGGGGGGATTTCACAGAAGAAAACACTTTTTCTTGAAAAAGAAAAATAATTTTGCCTATTGTCATTTATAATGAAAGTTATATATACTTGCAAATTATAAAAAAATTCCATGGAGTCATGGTTGTCGCAGTTCCATTATGATAAAAATATTGTGCCTTGTTACATTTATCTTTATGTTCAGATTGATGCTAAATGACTTGGAACATCGAATTTGAGCGAGCTAATTTGTCTTCAGAATTACTGTACTGTTGTGAGAGCAAGTTAAAAATCTTTGTGTTGTGCTCCTCTCTCTCTCTCTTTCTTTATATATATATATATATATATATATAAATAATTTTATAAATTGGCTGGAGGGTGTAATGTGTCTGAACTGTAAAGTTTATTCCTAACAGCGACTTGTCTTTCATTATGATAAAAATATCGTGCCTTGTTACATTTATCTTTATGTTCAGATTGATGCTAAATGACTTGGAACTTCGAATTTGAGCTAATTTGTCTTCAGAATTACCGTACTGTTGTGAGAGCAAGTTAAAAATCTTTGTGTTGTGCTCCTCTCTCTCTCTTTCTTTATATATATATAAATAATTTTATAAATTGGCTGGAGGGTGTAATTTGTCTGAACTGTAAAGTTTTTTCCCAGCAGCGACTTGTCTTTCATTTCAATTTTACTTTGTTGCATCAGTGTAGTGTTCCTAATTCTCGTTGATTCAAATCTTTTGTCATGTTTACCTGTTCTGACAATTCTTGAATTTGTCTTTTCTTCCAAGGTAGAATCTCAGCTTCTGAATGTGATGTTTACTAACTGTTCGTTTTTGGTGAATAGGTTGCAAAGGCACATGATGCTGATGTTCACTGTGTTGATTGGAATCCTCATGACGGAAACTTTATTCTAACTGGGTATACGCCATTTCTTATTTTCTTGATGGTGTTATATAGGGGTCGCAATTTATACCCAAACCCATTAAACCGCCCAAGCCCGCCCACTAAAATTAGATCATTTGGGTGCCCAATTTAAATGAGTGGGTAATTAATGGGTAAAAATTGGGTACCCATTACAATTAACGGGTCAACGGTGGGTTAAGTATGGGTATCCATCTTAACCCGCTCAAAAAAATCCTAAGGCTCGCTCATCCACTCGTCAGCCCCCACCCCCCCTCTCTCTTTAATTCCTGTCTATATGTTTATCATTTTCTAACATTTGCATTTCGGTTCACTAAATATATACCGTATATGTTATGCTTGTTACTTATTAAGTAGATCCTAATTCCTATCTATAATAGGAGTTTTTACCATTTTCTAACATTTGCATTTTGATTCACTATATATATATATATATATATATATATATATTCTACTTGTTGACTTATATCCTAATTCTTCTTAACACACAATATGCCCTCTTAGCACTTAAATTCTACAGCATGTATTTCTGTATGTATTAATTGTTATGCATATTAATTTATTTATTTTTGAAAAAAATATAGGGCCTGTTTGGTTCAATTTTTTAAAACAGTTATCAACAGTTTAGAAAATTGAGAACTATTATCAAATAACTATAAAAGACAGTTCTTTGTTTTTTAATTGAGTTTTCAAAAATTGTCAATTAAGCGAAATAGATTTTTATATAGTTATCCGATTTTCAATTTTTTAAAAAAGGAAAAATTGTTATCAGAATACTGCACCAAACAGAAGATGAACCCAAACATTTGGCAGTATGTGACTTAATTTCGACCAAGACTTTGAAATGCATTATTGATTCTGATGATACATTAATTGTGCATATATATATATACACAAACACATTTATATATGCAAGTCAAGTCCATCAGCACCACCAGATGTAGCAATTACAGTTGAGGATGAAAGAGAGATTAAATATGATGATGATTATGATATAATTAAATATATAACCCTATTGAGGGTGCTACTAGGAATATATTATCTAAATCCTTTTGCTCAGGTGTAGTTCAACCGCAAGACTAGCATAGACATTATTATTATTATTTTATTTGGTTTTTTATCAAGGGCCTATGCTATCTAGATTGATTACTGATTGAATCGTGTTTGAACCTGAGAGAGATTTATTTTATTATGCTTTGCGAGGGGGAAAAAGAGGGGGGGGGGGGGGGGGGGGGGGGGGGGTGTGTTGAAGTGGGTTGACCTGCCCATTTGAGCCCTGACCCATTCATGACCCACCATTGGCGGGTTGGTATCGGGTTACTAACCTATTCATAACTAGCCCATTCAAAACCAACCTAATTGCCACCCCTAGTGTTATACTTCAAGGTTTGATGGGGTTCATAGTTTGCACACGTGAGATCATGAAATTTTTGGTGCTTTTTGTTTTTCCATGATGTTATTTCAGGTCCGCAGATCATTCTGTTAAAATGTTTGATCGCCGAAATCTAACTTCTGGTGGAGTGGGGTCGCCTATTCATAAATTTGAAGGTCACAAAGCTGCTGTACTTTGTGTGCAGGTATTAAGCAAGTTCCTTCTCTTGTTCATTTTACTTTAATGTATGTATGTTTATTGTTGTGAAGTACGCATATACTCAAAAGTATTTTCTTTTTCCTTTATTTTTCTTTCCTTAACTCAAAACTATCCATTTATATTTCAGTGGTCTCCAGACAAGTCATCTGTATTTGGAAGTTCAGCTGAGGATGGTTTCTTAAACATTTGGGACTACGTGGAGGTTTGGCTAATCCTTCTATATTATGAGATCTTCATTACCTCCCTCCCTCTGTCTCATTTGTGCGTTTGTGTGTGCGCGAGGAAGAGTGACGTGGCTTACAATGAGGATAATGTATTTATGTAAGGGGAAGAGGAACCAAATTTAGAATGATTTTTTATGGCAAGGAAAATGTGGTAACGGAAATAATGACCTTGGAGGCTTGGACAGTACGGCATTAGTTGGGAAATTCCTCATTGAACTGAACTGAGTTGAATATGTATGAATTCTCATTTGGTGTGCCTCAGAGCATTTCATTTTCTTTTACTTTCCCCTTCTATTTGTAAGCATTGTCAAATGAAGGACTAAGGTTCCTGAACTGATGCATGGTTGTTGTATATCTATAGTGAAACAACTCGGTCACTGATAGATGGGCTCCCTAATTGCAACTGTTACCAATTAGGCAGTTCCTACTTGTATAATTTTTTGCTCTCTGTGATTATTTTAAAATTGAATCATTTCTTGCATCATTTTATAGGTTGGTAAAAAGAAAGAGTATGGGACAAGAACACCAAATTCTCCTCCAGGGTTGTTTTTCCAACATGCTGGGCACAGGTTCGTAACTGCTTAGGTGCAACTCAATTTCAGAAAGCCTTTTCCTAACCATTTCACTTTCAATTCTGGTATATATAGAGAGAGCTTTTGCCTATCTGCTATAGATAAGATCTTATCTTCTCATATGTGATGCCATCATGTTTTTTCTAATGTCTTTCTTTTTTCTCATCTTGTATCTCCTTAAATGATTTGAGTCGTATGATTCGTATTTGATGTAGTCTTTGGTCTGAATTGTATACATGCATTCTAGATGATTGTCTTTTTCTTTTTCCTCACTTTTACCTATCTTGTATCTTACTTCGTTATACATAAAAATCTTGTTTTTTTATTTATTTTTTAAGGGTTACGACATGAAAAGCAAGGACCATGACAAAAAACTTTAAAGAAAATAATTGAAATGTGTAATCCCCCACTTATGGAATCTGTTGAGTGTTCTTGCTGTTGAGCTTTGATACGACTGGATGCGCTCGGACAAAGATTTTATATAATATTGTATACTATATTGACACAGTCAGATAGATGTTAGGATTTCTTCAAGGAAACTGTCTCTGCCCCCTACTCTTTCATCTGCAAAGTAACGAAAGATGTTTCTGGCTTTGTTTAGCTGACTATGACTGCTTCGTGCTCCTTTTTCCAGTGTGTTAAGTGGCAAGGTGCTTCAAGCTCTCTCTCTTACTCTCACTCTCCCTCTCTCAAATAGTCCATCTTTGTGAATTGGATCTGGTGGCTGTGAAAAAATTTCTAGAACTTGTTCGATCTTATGAGTTAGATTAACAGATTGAAAACACGTCTTGACAGCATCTGATACGAACCAAAGGTTATGTTGCGTTTGGGAGCACTGTGATACCCCCTGATTTCGGAACACGGATTGATCAAGTCCGCGCACAAAATCAAGGGATATCAAAACAATTTAAGTATTTAACAAGCACAGAATACAAAGATGAATAATAAAGAATAAATAAACCGCTGAAGAAAACTAATAAATAAATATTACTTAATGATTCTCCAACAATTACAATTCGGAAATCCCACAACTCAAGGACCCCTTAAACATTATCTAATAATCCAATACTATTTAAAAGTACATAAGATGAATAGACGAATGACAGTCTCCCAGCTGCGGATCCTCAACCTCGAGACTGGAACCTCTAATAACCTGAAAAATAAATCGTGGGTTAAACCCTACGAGCAAGTTCACTCTACCAGACCTCTGAAAACCAATAAGCAGATCATCTCTGATCAAAACCAAACCTAATAAAGTTTTAACTTTAATAAAGCACGATATACATGTCTATATATAATTATATATACTATACTAATCACATCCATTAATAGGTTTATTAAATTTTCATACCTATTAAATAATTATTAAAATAATATTCATACCTAGACCAATCTACCATTTCATTTTATAAAAACTCCTTTGACCTTAATCCCATCCTAGTCAGTTGTCTAATCATTTAAACAACAAATTATAATAAAAGAAATACTCTATTTAATCCCAACCCGATAATGATTTTAATTGTTTAAATCACATATCCAAAATCCAAGTTTTGACAAATCATCCACGTCTTCCCCAATATTATTTTATTAATGTAAAATAATACACTAACCAGTAAGTACTAAACTATTCTCATTTAAGAATATCTAACCCTAATCCAATCCATACATACAACAACCATAGATGATATTTTAATCATCTAACACATAACAACGTAATTATGCTTTGGCAAATCAACCATGCCATTGTAAATATTTTTATTTATATATTGGCAATTCAACCATGCCTCCATAAGTATATTTATTTATACATTGGCAATTCAACCATGCCTCCGTGTATGTGTATTTATACATTGGCAATTCAACCATGCCTCCACAGGTATATTTATTCATACATTTAATTAGCAATTCATCCATGCTTTCCATATATGTATTCTATTCATACAAATATTTAGGTAATATATTTAATCATTTGACAATTCATCCATGCCCACACTTTAACCATGAATTAACTTTAAAATTAACAATACGCTAAATCATACATAGCCATCACATGCATATTATACGCATATCATTAATTTAACAACCAGCCTATTAAGATATGCCAAATAAGAATGATAATATTAATCATCTTAAATGATTTATATATATATATACCTACACATATGTTATTTAATGTATATATGTGTTTAATACCTTCTTTAATAATCCTTGATTATTTAAAATCAATATACATACATACATACATACATATATATATATATATATATATATATATATATACACTTCCTTCCATAACAAATTATTAATTTATTATATTTACACAAATTAGTGCAACTAAATATGTCAGAAATAGTTTCCTTTAAATACTCCATATTGGTTTAAATAGTTTTCCGACACTTTCTCACTAAAACATAAATATCTCCTAGTAGGATGGGAATCTGATAATGAAATTGGTACCATTGGAAAGAAGACGAAAAATCCTTGAATTTGAGCTCAAGAATGACCCAATTTCGATTTAAGATGACTAAGTTATGACTGTTTTAATTTTATGTCACAAACAGACAAAATAATTGGCTAAGCTCAAACACTACTGTGAGCGCGCCCACACTTAATTAGCTCACTTGAGCTCACACAAACGCACCCACACCAGATTAGCTCACTTGAGCTCACATGTATGCACCCACACCAGATAAATCTTCTGTTGACCAAACTTAATCCATGGTCCAGATTCACATGCGCACTCTTTTATGTACACCGTAATGCACCGAATCATTCCACTTATATTTAAACTATTCCAATGGCCTAGATCAGTGATGTAACCTTTTACTATGCATTCTACCACACTAGATCATACCTCGAATCACCCATCTCCTGATTTATGCGCCGATTCACACAGAGTGCATAGAATTAATTTAAAATTTAATAAAAATAATTCTAAAATAAATTCCAGAATATAAAAAAATTACAAAACAAATTCTAAAAATATTCTGAAAAGTACAGAAAAATTCCAGAAAATATAAAAACCAAAATTAATCCCCTTAGGTCATAGTTCCACCTATACATTGATTTTAATATATATATCCAACATCTACATATACAAATAAAATCCAATAATCCAAAATTAAAAATATATAATAATTCATACTTTTAAATAATCATATCTAAACACAATTTAATAAAATAAATTAACTTGATGCTTTTAATTAATCCAAATTAATAATTTAATTAGAGCCTTAATACTTAAGATGAAATCCTTATAGGTTCTAAGAGGAAAAATAGAGAAAACTCGCCTGAAGGTTTCGAAACGAAACCGACGCTTCAAGCTTTAATTATCTCTTCCAATTCCGACGTCCTCCTTTTCAGATCCGACCTCCTCCTTGTCAGCCCTTCTTCTTCCTCTCTCTCTCTCTCTGTTTTATTTTTCTAACGTGTAAAACCTTTAACCCTAAAGTTTTATGTGTATTTTTATACACCTTAAATTCCAAATCCTATTCCAACTAGTATTATGAATTAAAATAATAACCTTTAAATAATTTATATCTATAAACATATATTATATATAAATATATATTCCTTCCATAATTAACTCATTAGTTAATTAAATCATATATACTTATAAATATCAATAAATATATATCTATATATATATCTTTCCATAACAATTATTAATTAATTATATTTATATATAATTATATATATATATATATATATATATATATATATATAATTGATACAAAAGTGATCATTTAAATAATTAAATAACCACGGACCTTCATTAATTAACCCAATAAGGTTTCATACAAGCCCAAGACCACATCTTTTGGTCCAACTTTCCTTAAGCCCAATCCAATTAATTTAAATAAATAAGATAATTAATTAAATACAGAAATTAAAATAACTAATTACATGAAGCACATAAACAAACAAGAATTTACAACTAAGTCATATAATACTAATAAAATCAACACACCAATAATTCAATCAATAATCAACCACACAAACAATCAATCATCATACATAATCACGAAATATAACTTAATTAAAATAAGATAATTAATCTAGCACTCAATAAAATAAAATAAATCATTGAAAAATAAAATAAAATAATTAATCCTAATTAATAAATCTTTTAAAATTATCGGGGTATTACAAGCACCGAATCGGTGCTTTGGATTTGGGATTGGAGAAAACTTAGTTCAAAATTTTAACTACATTTCTTCCAATTCCAAATCAAAGCCACCGATTCGCTGCCGCCCCCAAACATAGCATTAGTTTAGTGGATCATTGGATTACTTTTTTTCCTTGACAGATCAGATTATGAACACATCTGATCTAGGATAAATTCATTACATCTACATGCCTAGCTGCAAGTATTTTTACATGGAGTTTGCACAAGTTAATAAAGGAACAAGGAGATCATTTTCCAATTGTTTGGAGCAATATTTTTGAAGAATTATTAGCATTTACTTTTAGAGAATCTACTAACAGCAGGGAAGAGGTTGCCCTTGCCTGTTGTGTTAGGTCTGTTGTGAGTAAATGTCGGTTGTGTCACCATACTCTATTGTACACCTGGTGCATTCTGCAAATTTTTAATACATCACAAAATCTAAATATACTTCGTCAATTTGGGATTGCAGCTGTATTTAATCAACCATAGTTTCCAAAGTTTTTTTTTCCCCTTCCCCTTTTACTTTAAAGTAAATGAATAGAAGCTGTTTGTTAATTCTTTTTCATGAATGACATGTTTTAAAAATGCAACGCATGTTGGTTAATTGTCTACTTTGTTCAAAGTTGGACTGCTAAAATCCTATTTTATTCGTGCGTTTGATTCTAAAAGTGTGTACTTCTTTTTGCATGCATCCAGGGATAAAGTAGTTGACTTTCATTGGAATGCATCTGATCCATGGACCGTTGTTAGTGTATCTGATGACTGTGATACCTCTGGTGGGGGCGGGACACTACAGGTACCAGAACTATGTTTACAGTACATATATATATATATATATATAGTGATACTGGATTTACTGAACATTATATAATGGTTTTTCAGATATGGCGCATGAATGATTTGATATACAGGCCTGAAGAGGAGGTTCTGACTGAGCTCGACAATTTTAAAACTCATGTAGTTGCATGCACTTCCAAATCTTCTTGAGAAAGTAGAGAGCGCATGTGTATTTGCAATACTTGAACGATCATTGTAAACTGTTGTGTATTTATTTATTGTGTGAATTTAGCTCCTCTTTTTATTTATTTAGAGAAAAAAGTAGGTACGCAGAGAGGATGAAATAATGTTTAATTTAGGTGTTTGAGATGTGGTCGGGACTATAAGTCGATGAAGATATTATACAAACAAGGTTGTTTAATTTATAGCCGTTTCAGATGTAATGTACTGTCCTTTATATTGAACCCCAAGCCAAATGCTAATGTTTTGAGCTACGCACTTACTTGTCTTGCTAAGCTAATGTTTGATTGGGTGAGATTTTACTGTTACCTTGAGTTATATGCTAAATTTTATTACATGGTTTGGGAGTACAAATGCGATGCAGTTTTTTTAACCCTTGTTAATTTGCTTTTATCAATTATATAACTATAAATATATTTAAAAATTCATACCTGTTTTAATACCTGTTTCTGCTTTAATACCTGTGTGATTGAGGTTTTGTGATCCAACTTGATGGATGTATAATTTAAATACCCGCGGACAGGAAAGGTTCTTAAATTAACGCACTATTTTATAAGATTGAGATAGGCTCTACAGATTAAGATGACGGTAAGTATACGTTATATCCCGACCTAAGCCTTATAAAGAAAGGGGTTAATCAACGTCTTAAGGTATGTAATAGATCCTAACTTAATTTTTTGATTTTTCCAGAGATTATTTTGTACACTGACTTGTTCGTCGAAGCCTACTCCACCAGTAACACCAGTGTTTGTAGGATCACCTTTTCTTCTCTTTGTTCATGGAGTCAGATTAGATCCGGATTGTGCAGAATCCATCGTCAACAAAACTATTAATAAAATTCATATTTACTCCCACATTATTTTTTGGGTTCATTCCCGTTTGAGATTAATTGGGCTTTGTAATCCTGAATTGTGTAAAATTTTTTATGTTTATAATTCAAATAGGCCATAGAGAATCTTTAGGGATATAAAATATGCAATATATGTGATATAGTGCCCCAATTGGTACAGATGAAACAAGCTTTTGATGGGAAAAAAAAAAAAAAAAAAAAAAAAATTATGCAAAACAGTTCTCTGTTTAGTAAAAAAAACTTTGGCCCACATCGAAGAGAACTGGTTTTTGTGTTCATTCTTGGTCTAATTTTGTTCTTCTCCAAACCGGGTTTACCTCCTATTAAAAAAAATGCAGTATAATGTAGCTTCCACAATAGTAGTACTATTTTATACTACAAGCGTGTGTGTGTGTGTATATATATATACATATAGATATTTTGCAGTCTGGTAATCACGTTTTCTGCTCTGCTCTGAGTCCCACTGTGCCTAATAATGATTAAAAAAACGGAGCACTATCTCTGACTCTGCAACATGCCGAGTTCGCGCCTCTACCTAGTCTCACGTGGGCCCCACATACGGAGTGGGCTATATCTGACACTCTATATATATATATATACATACATATTACATACATATATGTATAGGTATATCTCAGCGGTCCATCAATTGTCGCCGCCAGCGCGAACAATGCCCTCTCTGTGTGACCGTACGTCAAGGATTTGACAGGTTTGCTACGTCGTAGTTACTGCCATGCCACGTCCGCAATCTTGACCAATATATTATATATATTACATTACGTACAAGCCAGCTTTGAAATCATGGAAAGACTTATTTCCCCAAAAGTTCTTCATAATCACGGATGTATCCCTTGGCCCTTCTACATTCTCTCACTCACAATGCAACCTCTCCTCTCCATTAAAAGAGAGGTTTCATGGTGTGCAAATATACGAATATGCGTGCATACTTACCTAATTAAAAATATAATTAATTAATTTTTTTAATCAACGCTACGTTGCCACAGGCATTTTACACGCCTCAAATTTTTAAAAATTGATTAAGTATAACACAAACTTTAGCAACAATTTTTTTTTTTTTTTTTTTGGGTTTAATACTCAAATTCAACAATTTTATTGCTAATTGAGCTGTCATTTTCATTGATTTTTAAATTTTAAATAGCAATCTCAAAAGTTCCAGAATTAGTGGAATATCTAATTGAATCCTAACTTGGAGATGGAAATGGCTAATTAATTTTGCGTGTGGAAACCGAGTCCAACTCCAACTTTTCCCTCTTTCTACACACTTTTTCATATCTTATCTGTTTTGGAGATGTTTGAGAAAGCAACTTTCATGATCCAAACGTTATGATATATATATATATATATATATATATATATATTATATTCTTATGTGTATTAACTTCTCTGAATTCAAACCACATTATGTGACAACTTTTTCTCCATCACATGGTCACATCGATATAGTAAATTAGTACTCCGTAATTCTTCTGGGAATAGAGAAGTTATATGTAATAGTCACTAACGTATGAAAACCATTCTACTCCAATATTCTTCATTGCTTTCACACACACACACACACACACACACACACAAGTCGGTTAATTACTTGGATTCCCTTTATGCTTCACACACACACACACACACTAACACACACATCTCTTTTTGTTTCTTGCATTTTGTGGAACATTCCTTTGGCCTTAATTATACATCATAACTTCCCAATGTTCTCATCTTTAAGCATAGGAAAATGATTGTTAAAGGTAAATTTTCAATAATATTTATATAATCGAGTGAGTTTTAATTCTTTGATGCAGTCGATAGAATCCAAATTTAAGTTTATCCACTTCACTAAATGAATAAAAATTTCATCCATTAAAATCATCCCTTGGTCAAATAAATCTAAATATCAATCCAACTATTACAATTTCTTTTTCGGTAATAAATATAAATTACACTTAATCATTTATCTTACTCAAACATTTAGGAGAACACATTCCTCTTGAACTAAGCCCTTATCATCATCTTTGCTTAATTTGATCCTATGCACGCTAAGCAAGTCTAGTAGTAAATTCTCTTAATTCACTATTTTCTATTACAAATGGTTTCCTTTATCATATTTAAGTTTTAAGAATTATTTTAACAATTGAATACTATGTTAATTTCGGTTTACCTTTACAAGATTTTTTTTAATCATCTATGCAAATTAGCTAGTTTCCTCATCTCATATACAGTGCATTATGAGTCT